CGCTGATCAAAACAAAGAGGTCAGCCCCAAAAGATGGGATACATTCTCTGGAGCTTCTGCACTCCAGCCCACCCTGATCCAGGGTTAGCTGTTGCTTTTACTAGATTCTATTGAAAATCCGTGTTGTACTAAATGTGGAGAAGCAGAATAAGTGAACTTACTATAGCAGCTGAAACACAGAAGCTAGCACATGGCAGCCAGCACTTGAAATGCCTGGCATGCCTGCAACACACGACCGCAGAGAAACCCAATGAGCGCCTTCCAGCCCACCTTTGAAACGCCACACCAGACAGCACCTGCTTGGTGCCCGCCACCCTCCGTAGCGGCAGTCCCCTCCATGTACTGATATAATTGAATCTTTCCCCAGTGCATGGGCTGGAAAACAATTTCTTCCTCTGAACAAAGAGGTTAGCGCCATGAGCAGGGGCCATGGCTGGAAAGGAGCACACAAGCCCAGCCTGGCTTTCACCAATGAAACGTAGCTGGCAGAAAGCAGGCACGTTCACTAATGAATTATTCCAAGACAATTAACAGTCTGAGGGAGACGCTTGCAACAGCTTAATGCTTACTGTCAAGGGAAGCCAGTACCAAGCTCAGCACTGCCTCACCAACTCACAAAGGGAAACAAGGCAAAAATAGAGGGGAGGGAAACATCAAGGAAGAAAATACAGCATCTGTGAGCTGTTAATTACAAAGGTGCACACGCTGGAGTAACAAGGATGCTAATAGAGTTTTATTAGGAGACAAGAGAACCATTTTCAGGAGCTTTGTGGAAGAGCCAGAGCCCAGTGGGCCCAATGCTGGGCTGGTATAAACAGCAGTCTGATCAGCAGTCACTGATAATCTATGTGGTGCTCTGGGAGCTGCAGGGGTTCATGGCTTTCCACACACTCTGTGGTCATACACCTGGTCTTTGAAATATATTCGCATGTTTCGAGCTATAACAAGTGCTTGTTCTACAGTCTGAGTACTAGGTGTGAAACTCAGCCACCTGAGGTGGGGAGCCACAGCCCCATTCCCACAAAGAGTGGCAGCCTCTGTGCTAAGACACCTGTGTGAGATCAGTAGCTTACCCATGAATAACAGAAAAATAAATGGTGAAGAATCTGATATCAATCTTACCTCGTTTTTTTTTTCCTAACTTGCTCAAGGCAACATAATTCAAATGCTTCTGTGCAGTCATTACACATACAGCCAAGCTGAGCTCCCACTTAATAAGGAATATTTAGCACCCTTACTCTGAAGCTCCCCGATCAATGGAGTCCACACTCTTAATCTCACCTTGCTCTTGCTAACAATGTGGTTACTGTAATGTTGGCCCTGATCCTCAAAGGAAAGAGGATATTAGAGCCGAAACCTCTGGTAATGAAATCTCATGTAATGAAAGCGTGTTTACAGTGAAATGTTTGTATGTCACCATCAAATCAGAGCCTCACAATGCAATTTCCAAAAGCCTCTGTAATTATACAAGCACCACAAAGTGGGACTGGGTGGCAGGCAGGTTATTTAACATTTATTGCTACTACATAACGCACTGTAACTCTGCAAGCAAAAAGGGTGTGAAGGATAGCAGTATTTCACAAAATACACACAGCACAATTAAGAATCACAGGCTCGGAACATTTATAAGTGCTTTCAGTATATGTTACTCCTTATTAAAAATGAATTGCATGCAGCTCAAGAGAAAGTCTTATACTTGTAAATACCAATAAACCATAAGGGAGAAATCTTTTCAGTGGATGGCAAGAGAGTGAAATAGACAGATTAATGAAGAAAGAGCATGTGAAAACATTTAAGCATGGCAAGGAGAAAGCACATGTTCTATGAAAGTGCTGCCCCTATGGAACAAGGCATTTTAGCCCACCTCATACATGGTGATAGGCGAATCAAAGCAGTCTTGTCACCAGTAGTATCAAAAGTCTGTGTATGGAGTCCACACAGATAAGTATAAACAGAGTCTTTGCATCTGCAAATCTTCTGCATGTGATGCTCTCAGTACAGATAATGAGTTATCTGTTAGGAAGCCCTCAAGACAGGAGTCAAAGAATGACTTGTGTGCACAGGTGCTTCCATTTGTGTCAAGAAACACACTTAGGGTATTTCCTTCTGGCTTATCCTCTGAGTTAAAACTCAACATGAATAAAAACAGCTTCACCTTTTGCATGGATGTCTAATGAGCATCATGACACACAGCAGCTTTGTTCTATAGGATATTCTCAGCTTAATTTACACTGAAACTTCTTTACCATAATAAATGCTGAAATCCTAATGCAATTCCAGTTCCTTGAGCAGCAACCGTATACATTAATGCACTGACTGAGGAAAGGCTCAGAACAAGGCTGCAAGGAGGGACAGAGAATACCCTGGCACAGGATGCATGGATGACAAACACAGCATCTGAAAATGCATATAGACTCAAAGAAGATTCTCTTCAGTGTTTTACAATGTGTAAATGGTGAAAATCCCACGCTGCTTACTCTCTCTTTAAAAAGGACATCCATAAAAAGCCACTGGTGTTTGGCTCTTGGTCATTATCTGGTTGTCAGAGGCAGTGCAGGGCATAGTAAGTCAGATACTAAGCCAGCCAGGAAGCCTGGTGTCTCCTTCAACATCAGCCCCTGTGCCAGACACACACCCATCAGTTCAGCCAGCTTCTGCCAAGGTCATCTTTCATCAAGGTCACTCTTTCGGGATAGCATAGGAGCAGCCTGCAAATCCAATATATTCAACAACAGAGCCTGGAACCTACATTATAAACTGGTGCTTGTTTGATCTAAACACTAATACAGATATATCAGAGACAGTTCCTAACATGGGGTATTCACAGCCTGAACAAATAAGGCAGATAAAGACTGGGAGGGAAAGAGGCAGCACAACTCCCCCATGATCACAAAACAAATGAAGAATGGGGAACAAAAGTGCTGCAGCCCAACCTGTCTGCTGTGTCGTTCAAGGACCTTTTATTTTTTGTTAATTGTTCAGTAATTACTTCCGAATGCTGGAGAAAGCAAAAAGCTGAAGACAAACAAGCCCCCACAGAGTTAGAAAACATCCCTGCTGTAACACAGACTCAAACAGGTTGAGTCTGCAGCCAAAAGAGTTCCCAGGAGAGGGAGCAGAGCTTGCTGCTACAAGAAAAGGGTCAGCTGGTTTCTGAAGCAACCAAGAAGCCTGTGGATGCATGAACAGACATAACGCCTGAGACAAACATGGAGAAAATTGCACTATGGAAAGTGTGCCCATAGGAGCAGGAATGAGCAAGCTGTGCACTAGCAGGCCACCACATGCAAGCATGGGATGACTGAGACACAACTGTCCAGTTGTAAACTCAACAGCTTCGTGGTAGGGTTGCCGCTGGTCCCACACACTGGGTTGCAGCTCCACAGCTTTTTAAAATCAGAACAGTTTGACTTGGTTTAGGTTAATCTAACCCTTTGTCCTTGTAAACTAACCAGCAAACCTAACTCCTCTTGTTATCGCTGTTTTCTATCATATTTTTCTACTGAATGCTTCTTGGACTGGTATCTGAACAGCTTCACACTGCACTTTGTGCTCACTGACATCTTATATTTTTACAACATTCATATACTTGGGAGTCAACAGCAAGGAAAGAGAGCTAGGTCCTCATAAAACTGTGAATAATGAGGATGCTCCTGTAATTAACTTTGTTCGCTGCAGTTTTTGGTTTATAATGGAATAATCTGCTCCACTTTATTGTCATAACAACATGTTAATATGTTCCTGTGTCCTGGTTCCACTGAGGTAATCTCCATTTTTAGCCTGATTATTTACAGTCTCTGGAATACCATTTTGGATACCACTGAAATCCCACTTTTCTGTACAGAGCAGTAAGTGGATGGGGTGTGCACTTTGGTGGGTAGCATTAAAAAATTTTTAAAGACTTTGTGAACTGTAGGCATGTATCTATTATCAAACCTACTCTGGCTCGTTGTAGACACTGATTTGATTTTGATGATAAGCTCAACTCAGACACCAAACTCCAGAAAATATCCTCTGAGTTTTTCTGTCACCTCAAGTCACAAGTCAATAAAAGAGATGCAACCTCAAAATTAAAAAGTAAGAAAGACAGCTGTACAAGATTTTATAGCAACAACCTAAAAAGTGTAATTTCCACAAACAAATGGCTTTCTTTTTCTGTAGACTGAACTAGAGAGCCAATCATTTGTCTGAAAATAAAAACCCCTCAATTCAAGACTTCATAAAGATTTTAAAATCTTAATAATGATAAACACCAAGGTTTTAAGTTTTGTGTACTTGCAATATCTGTGCCTCTGCCCATATCTACCAATATGGCTTTGGCCAACTTATCTTTCCTTCTTTATTTTTCCCCCCTCAACAAAATTCTCAGGTAAATATCCAATACATATCCATAGCTATTTTAATATAAATTTATTTTTAAAAGCATTCACAGTAGCTAATTGCTGAGCACAGAAGATCTGAGCAACAGTTTTGTTTGTCAGAGTTAACACTAACATTATGTCAAGTAGAACCCAACATTACAGCCTTTTGCAGTATTTGTTAGAACAGTACTCTCCAGTGTATGAATAAGAAATCTGAAACTGTCTGCGTTTACTTCTTGAATAAACTCTGCCCTTTATGCCATTAATTTGATTGTGAACTATGGGAAGAGATAGCAACTCCTTACCCATGTGAACAATGACCTGTTCAGCACAGAGGAAGCACACAGTCTGACACAAACACCACTGATGGCAGGTCCTCAGGCAAGGACGACCCCGATGGGGCAGGCTGCAGCCAGCTCCTCAGCCACCATCTCTGCTCCTGGGGGATCCCAGTTGGGGATCAGTACTCAGGTACTTCTCTTAGAAGCTGCACTTGTCTCACCGTGCTTAATAACTACCAACCGACCTGCTCCTCCAAAAGGGTATCTAATCCTGGCTTGTCTTTGTTTCCACCAAACTCCTAGGTAAAAATAAATAAATGAATAAAAAATCCGCAATTCAATTAGGAACTGTGCAAAACAAAGGTTACTTTTATTTTCTGCTGGTAAAGTTCACAGATTACTCAAATTAAACTACAGCACTGCTGAGCATTTTCATCTCCCACAAGCTTCAGACAGCTCCAGGAGCTCTTAGCAACTATCAAAAAATAAGCCTAGTATGAGCACATACCTGAATTAGGCAAACATTTCCTTTCTTGTTCATGTTTCTCAGTTCTACAGGCACATTGACTTTTATAATGGCATTTTAGACACATTGGGAAAGTATGTAAGCTATTACATAGCCATAAATAAAGCTAGGAAATTACACTGATTTTCTGATCTTCTAAAGAATTAAGAGGGATATGAGTGTCCCAGCTTGCAAAATCAATTCACATACGCAACTTGTTTATCAGTCAAAACTTTTTACATTTAAATTTCAAATTAAATGAACTACTATCACAAATGTTGTTGTGATCTGCCTGCAACAGATCTAGCAAGTAACTAAAATAAGAGGAAGGTAAAAAATCAGAAAGTGAAGCATCTGCGATGAGAAGGACAAATATTGTTTAAATTGGAAGCAAAGGAAGTTGTGTTTATGCCAATACAGAGTTTGTATTACTTAATGCTTTTCCACAGCTGGGTAGCTATGCTAAGTAGTATTTCTGCTGGCTCTCTGCTATGCTTGTATTAGAAACTGCTCCACAGATATAAGAAACAGAGCCACAACAGCAGGAGTTATACGCTTTGTGCTCCTATACTATTCATTCAGTTGCAGAGCCATAGTAGTTGCTATGTCACCACTAATTCTGTTTTCTGGTCAGCTTCTTTATGTTATAGCTGAGACTGTACTTATTTATTTTTTGTGACTTGGTAAGGTAGATAATACTTCACATAGGTCTCTTGCTCATACACATACAAGCAGAGAACAACCGGGCTTTGAAAATATCACTGTTGTTTTCTCAGAGTGCAAATGACTGAAATGCAATTCATGACCACTGTAAGGTGCAGGCAAAGTGGTGACAGAGAGGTTCCACTAGGTAAAACACAGCCCAAATAAAATTCAGAAAGGTTTAACATACTCATTGCAGATGACAAGGATCCTGAAAAATTGCTCTACCGAGTGTGGGTGGTATGCAGACACTTCAGTGTACTAAATCAGAGCTGGGATTTGGTTTGAATTAATGTCGTCCTACCACCACTCCTGCATTGCTCATTCTGCCAGAGCCAAGACAAAATGTCTGTTGACAGCCTCAAGAAGCCAGAAAGAGCTCAGTAGCTGCTGGCCACCAGTAGGGTAGGAGGTTTCCCTCTCCACAGCAATGCCCTGTAGGAACACAAATGTGAATAAGGGATAAGTAGGTTGTTTGCAGGCAACACCCAATGTATCTGTACAAGCACAGTCCAGGACTTCAATGAATTTACAGGTCAATCTTCCATTTTGAGACCCCCTTTGGTTCCACCTGGGTTGCTTTCTAACAAGTCTTAGTGGATCAGATGCATAGTTAAGTCTCACTAGCATGGGAGACTAGCACCATGACATAACCTCACTATTAGAATAATCCATTTCTTGTTCTTTTGTATCTCTTCTACATGGAAAACGCACAAGATTAAATAAAAACACAAGGTCAAATTAATTCTGGTGCCTATCTTCATTTTAATTTGTTGTATAAGAATTGTGAACATGATGTGTTGATGGAGATATGAACAAAGAAATAGAATGGGTAGAAATAAGATCTGAAATCAATCAGTATGTGATTCAGCTTGTATTTGTGCTTGTTAACGGCCACAGTAATGTGGCAGGTTTTAAACAATTTCTGCTCTGTTTTAGAGACCTGGAAAACATCATAATTGGAATCAACTTTGATGGACTTAATACTAGGACACAACATTTTTGAGGGGAGTTGATGTGAGTTGTGTTGCTATCTGTGCACTAGCACTCATGTAAGACACAAAAGACTCTGATCTATCTTAGTATAATATTCTCCAGTCATACCTTTTACAGTTTATTTGTAGAAGGCTGATTCCTATGCACTAAATCTTAAGCAGAAAAGAAAGAAGCTTGAATTTGTTCCGTCAGACATCTGATAAATATCTCATAAAGCCATATTCCCTAAACACTTTGTCCTACCTGCTACCGTCCTCTGCCCTATAACTCTGTTTGAGGGTTTTTTTTGTTTGTTTGTTTGTTTTTCTCTTTGCCAGGGGAGTGGAATATAGGAGGGAGAAATAATTTTTTGAAGATACAGTTGCACCTGCTGTAAATTCAGTATGCTTATAGAGAGAGACTAAACTAAATCCTCTTTACCTGCTATTTTTCCTAGGTTACATCCATGTTCCTTGCAGCATGAGATGTATTCTCAGCTCGAAGGATCCAGATACCATTCTCAGAATTTCCAGAGGTGCTCAGTGTTGATTTGGCAGTGTTTCCTTTAAAAGCAAACTTCCACTTGCCATCAGTGTGGATGGGTAAGCTATTACTAAATGCTTGTTAATGCACCCTTAGCACACCAAATGTAAAATTACTTCTTTAAGGATCATCCCTCTGTTTTCTTTCACAGTTCTTAGCCACTCTTGCTCTTCTGCTTATCTGTGGTCATGCATATGGGCCTCATATCTTCAGAAATGGGTCCCTTTTCTCAATCCTAGCCACTGCTGTTTGACTTAATGTAAGATCCAATCAGTTTACATTTGTTTCCCTTTCTTACCTTCATCACATTTTTGTCCTCTCAATGAGTTTCACAAAATAACTTACCTAGCTGTGCCATATAAAGTGTATTCCCTCTGAAGCCACATTGGTAACTTTTATCAGAGCACACTTCCCCATATATTTTGTGATCTGAGCTCTTAAAATCTCCAGGAACTTGCCTGCAACCAAAGTCAAATTTAGTAGCCTATTATTTCCTATTACTGTAGTGCTTCTTTCATAGACTAAGATAATGTTAGTTTCCTTCATGTCACTTATATCCCTCTGTCTCCCTACAGAACTATTAAATATCGTAATTCATTCAGTATTCTCCTACAATGGCAAAACCCAGCACACTGCTATCCCTCCCACTTGTCAAAGACAGCACAGCAAACAACTAATCTGAAATCATGGATTCTAAATTTTATAGATATGGCCTTTTTCGTGATGTCCCAAAATAACACAGGCCTCTTACAGGTTTTCTTGGAATTCTATTTAAGCTAAATAAGAGTGTTTTAGAAATAGACACAATATACACTCTAGGTATGAAGAATTTCCACTGATAGGAAATCCGTTATGACATACATGAACTGCTTTTTTTTATATATATATTATTACTACTTGAATTTGGCTAACTTCAGTTTGGTCATGTAGGCTGTGATCAAGTCAACCCTAAACTTTCCTCCAGTGTAGCTAAACAGACACTTGCACATGTGGCTCATTTCTGAACCTATTTCCCTTTTTACATCCTTTCTGGGTGGCATTGCTCAGTAGGGGACATGTCCTCCATCACATCAGGGCTCGCAGAAGGGCATTGCCACCACCCTGCTCTCACCCTGACTTCTGCTGCATAAGCACAGAGGTACAGCACAGCATCGCTTTAGGAGTTCACATTACACAGAGTATTCATCACTATTCCTGAGCCCCTGCCAGCAATTCAAGCCAAAAGAAAGTGAATAAAAAATCCATTAATTCAGTAACCAATCCTTCTTGCTGGGTTTTTCTTTTAGGCTTCCACTCTAGGTTTACACAATCCAGTAAAACCTTCCTTCCTACCAGCAAGAGACCACCTTTCCATATAAAGAAAGTTTCAGTAAATAATGTTAATACTATAGTGCTATTAGTAATTATTGATGCCTATTACCCTGATGCCACTTGGCTCTGGTAAATGTAAGCTTTTACCATTTACACAGATGAAGGCAGGAGCAGGGTCTTCCTCATGTAACCCCAGTCCAGCATCACAGTACACTCATTTATATGGCAGGCCTGTTTAAACGGGTGGCAAATACAGTTCCAAAGCTCAGGAATAGATACTGTATCTCACCATTTTTACCCAAAGTTTATATAAACCTCCAAAGTCTGTATAATTATGTTTAAGGCATCCTATATTACGTGGCAAGACTTTTTGGATTCTTAGAGATCTATTCCTGCCAAACCTAAAGTTCAGAAATACACGAAAATGTTTAGGAGCACGTACACCAACTCACACATAATGCTGTAAGCTACATTTTCAGTTAAAAGATTTTACTTAAAACAGTGGAGTGTGGACTTGAGGGGAGCAGGTTTTCTTTGTGGAGCCCAGAGGATGGCACAACTGCTCAGTGAGAAGTAACCTGCTCCAGCACTTCTCAGGTATTTGTGCAGGGGATGCTCAAGGCTTTCTGTCCCCTATGGCAAAGGGACGGTGCAGGTAGCCCTATCTGGCCAGCCAGATATTCAGAGGTAAAGCACAGGAAAAGGGGAACCTGAATGAGAGATGATTTACAAAGTGCTGGCTTTGAAACACACTCCTCGGGAGGGTAAGGGAAGTACAAAGACCTTTGTACCTAACCTGTTCTCTCCTGCTCTGTAATGTCAGTGTGAGGATTTCTAAGCTCAAAAACCAGTCTGCCAATCCTGAGTCAATCTTGAAATGCTGGGACTTTTTCAGACCAAAAAATGGATAAATAAACTGAAAATAAAGCAAAGCCTTCATGGGCAAAACCACAGACAACGTCTCAATCCTTCCCTGCTTATTTTAACCCTAGCAAATCTAGACAGTACTTTCCATAGCCAAAAGAGAATGAAGAAGTATTAAATTAACCATTAGCTTCAATTTATGACAAATCCTTTGCTGAACTTTAATACTCTATGCAAAGAGAGGGATGTTTGCTCATGGGCTTTATGTGCATGTGTCTTTTGTTTTTTTTTAATTAGCGGCTGTTTTTGCTAACTCACATGCCTGCTAGGAAGCCTGGCTTTTACCCATCTTTCTCCTCAAGCACAACCACCGTAACAGGCGTCACACAATCAACTGCAATGGATCTGATCCTTAAAATAACATTTGAGAAAGCAGGTGTCTTCCGGCGAGACTAGCGCTCCACAGATGGGCGAGACGATTAAGTGTAACAGGACGTGCTATCTTGCACCACAGAAACCATACAGACAGATTGATAATTGTGCTGTTCTCGTGAGAAAAGCGAGGTCATTATTAAATGGATGAAAACTGTTGTTCATAAACGACATACGTACAAATGTAAACCCTTTTTTTACTGCCACACTAAATTTATCATGAAACAATTGTCAGTAAGAGGTAGTTCGTTCTCCCTCCACCACCACAAAGCCATTTAAAGTAGGTGTATTCATCACTGGTGTGTTAATTCAAAACTATATATACATATATACATATATATATATACACTCAAAGAGTGATCAAAATATTCCTCCTCCTCAATTCCTTTGCAATAGTCCCTGAGTCCGACTGGAATCCCTTGCATGCCAGTGCAACATAGCTACTTACTGCATGAGGAGCTGGGAGCAATGTCTCCCAGCATAAAATGTGGGGTGCTTAATACCTTTCCTTATAAAAGAGAGACAGAGTGACAAAATTTTTCCTCCTGCAGAAATCTGCATACAGCTATTGCTTGCAGTAGCCCTATGATATCTGGTTTGAAGAAAAACACTTTTACTTTCTCCCATAAAATGTCCTTGTGGTTTGTTCGGACAGCAGCTGAAAAAATAACAATAAATAATAATAATAATAACAATAATAATAATAAAAAAGAAACCTTCTTTCTTCTTCCTTCTATTTTTGAAGAATAGCAGCAACAAACAAGCACCCCAATTTTGCTGGAAATGCCAAGAAGCTGCTGCAGCACCTGAAAATATCAAAATGTTGATGAAGAGGCTGGCACTGCTACCCAGCTACAAGGTCTGTGCTGGCACTCCCAGAAACATGGGAAAACAGAAAAAAAAAAGACTGTACTAATCTTCCCTCACGCTGCTGAACATCACCAAAATGCAACATGTAACCCTTGCAGTCCTATCCATCACTGGGACATCAGGATTTCCTGCTGTCATTAATTTTTCACTCCAAGTGGTAGTAGTCTCTGCTGAAATGCTTAAGGAGATGGATGAGATTCCTATAGGTGACAGGGAAAAGGGAACTCATAGATCCACACAGTACTTAGGGTTTAACTTTTTTTTTTTTTTTTTTAACAAACCCAGAAAGTTCTGTTTTAAAACCAATGTTAAAACAATGTTTTCAGATTCAAGCATCAGGAAATATTAGTTCCAGTTGCTATGCATCTTGCATCTGGAAATGCATCCCCTTTCCCACAGGGACACACATACGAGGACTTGCTCTTGGACTCGCATTTCTC